ACTTGTATCATTTAAAAATTAAGGTAAAATCATTCTTACCCAGGTGCCAAGTATAATAGTAATTTACTCATACCAGTCAATATAGATCTGGAATTTTGGCGACCTCATACTAACTTAGATGGAGTATGTTGACAGTTATTTTATAACAAATTGATTATATTATTGAATATACATGTATATTATAGTACAATGTAGGTGTTTTTGTATCAAGCTTTGAAACATTTTTTAGCAAATATAGTATGCCATGACCTTCTGCCTTCCTTCCAATTGGAACGGTTTCAACAAATCTGTATCCATGAATTCTAAAATAGTTTAATTAAATCTGGCTTAATGAAAGCTAGCACCTCCTTGTTCTGTCCGTTTTGATAAAACGGTCAAACAAACACATACATTTAGGTGCTTAATAAGGTTCAGCATATCTAAACCTTATTTATTATTCTTATTTTAGAATTTTTTGGAAGACTTAAGTTGCATTAGCAGATACAACTTTTACATAGCATATCTAAGAATAAAAATTGGAGTACTCACTTATGACTTTCACGATAACTGCAAGATTTTAAGCTTTGTCTTGTAGCAGTATGGTTGCATATAATTAAACGTTGTATTTTATACTGTACTATTTATTTATATTTATTTATTTATACTATTTATACTATACTATTGTTTATACTATTTATATTATGAAATTAAGATGAGCCAATAGTCGGAGTGCTAGCTAACAACACATAAAAAATCTCGAAAACATAAAAAGTGCCAGCTAACAGCATCAAAATAAAAAACAAAAAGTTAAAAAAAATGAAAAAAGAAAAATATTATATTTAGGAAACATTTATATGTCAGCTTTGAGTTTTTTTTCATTATGAAATCTTGTCTCAAAATCGATTAAATAAAAATTTAAATCAGAAAAATTTTACTATAAAAAATACAAGTGTCTCCAAATAAAAGCATTAACCTTTTCTTTAAAATCAAACCATACATTTGTTTATTTACTTTTATAATTAAGTGAATATCAATCAGCATTTAACAGTTGTCATTAGACCTTTTGACTTCTGTTAGTGACGTACTGACTCGTTAAATTCTTATGCTGTCAAAGTAAGAAGTGGACTTAAAAGTAGTTAGGCAGCATAGTAAAGATACACTTGACACTTGTTTGACTTCTCTCACCTGTCAAGTACGTCTAATGGACAGTTAATAGCACGCTTACCAAAACTTCGTGTCGTACTTCAACTTCAACTTCAGCTCTACTCTATTTTATACTATACTCCAATACCACACCGTTCAACTCAATTCGCTTAGCCTTACTACACTTCATTCGAAATTAAAACTACAATAGCTAGTTTAGTCAACTGACTGCCAGAATTGGACAAGTTGTAAAGGTACTCGCAAGTCACAATTACTTTGGCCCACAATTAATTATGTCATTCACGTTTGAAACCGTAATCCAAAACAATAAAAAAAAATATATCTTACAATTTTTTTTATTTCTTGCAATTTAAAGTACTGGCATTTCTTACATTTGACCAAGCCAAGCTCATGCCAAAAAAGCCTGGCTCACAGCAGCAGAGAAGTTATGCTCAAAATGAGACATTGTCAGGCTTAAGCGACAATGCTTTTAGCTGTCAAACGCTTTTAAGACTAGCTCGCGCGGGTCTATTTTTTTTATTATTTCTTATTTTATTTTTATTATTTACTTTTATTACTTATTTCGGACTCAAAGTCACATTTGCGGCTCAAGCGCTTTGATCTGTCATTTAAGAAATGCTAAAAGCGCAAGCGTACTGTGATTTTAAAGTAAAACAACAATAAAATGTAGTCGAAATAAAAACAAAATTAAAAATATATAAAAGGTAAAATTATTTAAAAAAGTAATTTAAATATATAAAAAATCATTTCTTTTTTAAACCCCAATTTTTTTTTGTTTTTTTTTTTTGTGGCTTAGAACGTGTTGCTTATGTTCTTTACCTGCTACTCGCTTAAGCTCAACCCTGTTTTTAGTTACTAAAGTCGGTACCAAGAGGTTATAAAGTGGGCAGCGGGCGCTTTGCAGCACGAGTTTTGCATGCCGACAATGTTTCTTATTGCAAATTTTTTTTAATGTACTATGTATGGTCTAACCGTAGAGGTTTCTTCATGGATTCATTTTATTTAATTTTTATAATCCACAAAAAATGTCGGCACATTTTTTCCTCGCATTTAATTGCTCATTTTAACATTTGATTTATTTCTTGACAAATAAAATGTTGTGGTTTTGCTCTTTTGTTACTAAATTTTAACATAAATTTATTTTGTGTTAATTTAATACTTTTTATTATGAATCATTTTA